TTATATTTATGAGATTCTAGCATACCGAAAGGAAAACATTAATAAGGGTGCGTTTAGGAAACATTAACAAGGGTGTGTTTATTTCCTAAATATGACTTATAAAAAATTACTTTTAAAATTTTTTTATTCAAATTTTTTTATTTGTTTACTGTTAAAAAAATTGATTAATAGAAAATAATTTATAGTTAAAAGAAATTTGACTTAGTTTCTAGAAAAGTGTTTTCTTTTTATTTTGGTTGGAAACATTTTTTAGAAGTTGTAAAAAATTTAAAAATATTATATTATTTTCTAATTCTATCAAATTTAGTTAAATTTTTTACAATATATATATATATATATATATATATATATATGTATGTATGTATGTATTGTTTTGAATATTTGTTTTTATATTTCATCCCTTAGAATTTAATTTTTATATTAACTTTGATTTTTATTTTTATAATTGTTATTTGCTTTTTCTTTATCATTTTTTAAGTGAAATTTTTTATCTAACAAATTTCATCCTCATTCTTTTGATTGTTACTTACTTTATTTGAAATAATTTAAAAAATATTAATTATTATTATTTTAATTTCTTCATCTTTCAATTTTTATATTTTTTAGATTTGATATCTATTATTTTGTTTATTTTTTATTTTATTTAAGATAATTTATGAAATTATATTTTTTTCAATTACATTCTCATTCAACTTTTTTAATTTGTAAAATTTATTCCTAATTATTTTAATAAATTTGAAAAAAATAAAACATTGATAAGTTATTTTCTAGCTTATTTTTCACAACATAATCAAACACTAGAAAGTGTTTTCCAACTTATTTTACATTATATTATTATATATTAAAAAATATTTTTTAAAAAAAAATTAATTTAAAAAATGTCACTTTCTAACAAATAAATGAGACTAAGAAACTATTATTTATTTAAATAAATTTCAGTTGATCGCTTCTCGGCAGAATTTCTTGCACTGCGATTGGATAGCTCAAATATTTTCATGGCACAAGTTCTATCAATTTATTCTTATGTGAATGTCTATTCTCAAGATCATTGGCCCTATTTTACATTACTTTCTGGAAAGGGATCCGTTTCTACTCTATTGGTAACCATAAATAACTCTTCATCTTCGCTTTTACTTTCTTAAATAAACTTTTCAGTTAAACAAAATATTAAAATTTGATAATTGTACGTACCTTTTTGATTTTGACATTATATAAAAACTTAATAAATTTACGTAACTAAAACATTGAACAAAAGCTAAACCCCTTTTCAAAACATTGTTCATTCATGCGCATTTGTGTTAACAGGGTAACGATGATTTTACCTTTTTATTCAAGAAATTTAACACTAGCTTTCAACATTATTAAAGTATATTTACAAAATCTATTTGTAATTATCAAATTGAATAGGAATAAATAAGTTTTTATTTTTTAATTTAATTATATAATAAAACAACCAAAATTTCAATGAAAACAAAAAATTAAAATTAGTGTCAAACATAATGAAACGATCAAAATACCATTAAAAATAAAAAACAAATTAACATTAGAGTGAAGGGATTTTTTTTCCCATAATGATTTTTTTATTATTATCAAGTCTACTTAAAGGTATTTTAGTATTTCATCGAATAAAAAAATATATGGCACATATGGTGCCCTCTCTAGTGTGTGTGGTTGGGCTGTCCAATACTTGGAAGACGCCTATGCCTTTTAGGCGTAGCATGCAACACCTACTCAAGTCCATAAGCACTTTTTTATTGTGTTATTAGAAGTAATATTATGTTCTTTTTCTTTGTAGAGGGGCGTGTGTTAGTGATAGTGCTTCGATTTGTTGCTAGTGAGGTAGAGGGGCGAGTGATAGTGCTTCGATTTGTTGCTAGTGAACCTTTTCTTTTTTTTTTTGTCCATCCATTAAAATTACAGTTTAACTATCTTTATTATTGATATTTCAACTTTAATCATGATTTTTTTAATTTTTAATTTTTTTTCTTGATTTTTTTATAAAATTTTTATTTATTTATAATTTCATCATCTCATCTCAATTTGCTATATAATTTTTTTTATCCTCGTTCTTTTGATTATTTTTTTAACACTTTATTAAATTGATTACAATTTTATTACAATTTATTTGTATTACAATTTTGATCCTCATTAATTAAATTTTTTTTTCTTATTTCAATTTTGATCCTCATTATTTTGATTATTTTTTTGGTCTTTTTGTTCAATTAAGTTTACTTTTCAAATTCACCCTTTAATAAAAAATAAAATTTATTTGTATTACAATTTTGATCCTCATTCTTTTAATTTTTTTTATTTTTTATCCTTTCATGTAATTGATATTTTTTCCAAGTTAATCCTTTAATATTTAATTGGTTAGAAATTAAGGTTTATATTTTTTTCATATAAGATGTTTCAAGTTAATTGGTTGTAAAATAGGGCCATGAGTTTAAAAGATTAAAGCAAGTTTACATTATCTTTTTCTTAATTTTTTTCCTTATTTTCTTTATAGCAATGCAATTATATATATATATATATACACACACACACTAAATTATCATGATCTCATGATCTATGTCACAAGTTTGGTGAGTAAACCTGAGTTGGCTCACCCTTTATTCATCGAGTTACAAGTTTATTATGCTAACTTGAATTGATTCAAATTATTTTTTATTTTTTTATTTAATTTTATCATTTTATATTTAATTAGTTGAGAATTAAATTATCTTGTTTGTTCCTATTTACAAACACGTTTTTCTTTTTTCATGTTATCATTACTCAAACTATTTTTTATTTTTTTATCTAATTTTATCATTTTATATTTAATCAGTTGAGAATTAAATTATCTCGTCTGTCCCTATTTACAAACACGTTTTTCTTTTTTCATATTATCATTATTACTTTTATTTTAATCAAATTCATTTGCTGTAATTAATTTTTTTTATCATTCAGTTGAGAATTAAATTATCTCGTCTGTCCCTATTTACAAACACGTTTTTCTTTTTTCATATTATCATTATTACTTTTATTTTAATCAAATTCATTTGCTGTAATTAATTTTTTTATCATTTAATTAAAATTAAACTAACTTATTTGATGCAGAATTGCTATATAATTTGTGTCATATTTTTTTAAAAAAAAAAAATATATACTTACGTTTCCTGAACATGACTTTTAGTGAAAAAAATACACACCATCACGTAGAGCAATGACACAGATAGTTAATGCTATAAAACAAAGCAAATGGGACACTTTTGCCTTGCAAAAATAAACTTCAGGGTCCACTAGGGAAAAAAGCAAGAGATGAAATTCATTAAAATAATCAAAGAATCCATTACATCAAATTAAACAATGTCATGCATGGGTTTATAAGACTTGTCTAAAGTTTAATCAAATTAGTGTCATTAACGTAGAATTTGATTATTATTATTTCGTGATAGAAAAGAGATAAAAATAATAGGATTAAAAACATGTTTATTTTAATAAAATAAGACAGAAAGATAAAATAAATCCATGTTTTAATTAATTTTAAAGTAAATTTTTATAATTTAAAAACACAAAATAGAGAAAGACTTATTTTCTTAATCCTCCCTCTTTGCCTCGATCTTTTTTTATTCCAAAACAGTAATTAAATATTATTTAATAAATAAGAAATCAAAGGTTTAAAAGTAAATATCAAGAAAATAGATTGGTTGATAAACTAAACAAATCATGCCGATGTCTGAATTATAGTAATAAGTTATAAACAAAGAAAATGGGACAATATTTTGTTTTTTCTTCTTCCGATGAATGCCAATTCTGTCTCTATTTTCTTTTAAAGTATTTTGTTCTTCTATAGCTCTCAAAGTTCTCCACAAACAATAAACACAGCGTTAATCAACGCATTTGAACTTCTTCTTATTAATCAAACCAGTCTATCTGTGCTTGTGGATAGTCAATCCTGCAAATCAAACCTACAAAAATCTTTATATTCCAAGTTCAAACATGTTTTCTGATAGATGATTTTATTAATAAGGTGTAACAAATCTAAGAACTTGAACAAACCAGACCCTTTTAAAGCTAGCAAGACCTTCCCTTTTATCCACAAAATCAAAGTCTGCTTCACGCAGTTTCTTTTTTGAACTGATCATGGCTTCTATAAAATGTAAAATCTTTTTGATCCAATGGTTAAGTGGCTAAAATCCTCCAATCCCAGTCCTCTCCACCAGGATTCGGAGGGAGGACATGCTCACACATCATGTGATAGATTGACTCTCCCGGCCCAGAGGCAGGGATTTGTTATTTTGCGACTCTCATTTTCCATGAAATGTCTATTTAACTGTTTATATTCGACCCCGTGTAAGCTTTTGTTACTTGAAGTTGAGGGATGTTCATCGAGATAATTAATTAGAATGGATTTGGATTCATAACAGTATTTAATTTATTTTTTAATATTTTATAAATTATAAACTTGATTTATTTAATTGTTTTGGGATCCAAGGAGATTAGATATATCTAATTGAGCTAAATTTTTTTATGAATATTATAAATATTTACAAGTTGAACTTATATTATTATTTTTTATGGATTGTATTTAATGATGAATCTACAAACTGAACTGTTGATGCCTGACACTCTAATTTTCATATATTGTTTATGTTAAAGAAATCACTGGCAGGAACTCTAGGCTTAAAATATTTCTAAATAAAATAAAAATAAATACTTAATTCATCAACTATTAAATAGTCTCAACCATGATATCTTTTTTTTATGATTTTTTTTAAACACCCCCATATGAAGCTCTTTAAATCCCTTTTGCATTTAAACAGTTATGAATTTTAGTTAAAATTAGTATAAAGATTTTTCTGAAGGCCCATAAAATTTGATGCTGACAGAATCTCTAATGATTCAAATGAATGAAGCCGTTTGCATATAAGAAGTCCTGTTTCACAAAGCTAAAAATGCATCCACAATCCTGTCACACATAATATCCTTATAGTATGCAATTCTCAGCTAAACATCGCTCAAATATCCTCCCCCTTGCCTTGATTATGTGTAGGAAAGACATGTAGCAAGGGTTGTCACCCTCTACTAAATTTGCATTTCTTTCATGCGAGCATGGTGTTATGTTCCCCACTCGAAGTTGAGTGATCTTCTGAATCTTTAAAAAATGTAACCTCAAGCAAAAACTCCCTATCTTTAGCAGCTAAATGGAATTGAAATTGTTGTGTTCGGTCATTGTATCCCTACAAACTTCAAGGTAATCCATTGTCAGCCGAAGCTGTCCCATCAAGCATCCTCTCCCTAGCCTTGGTTGCCTGGAATTATTGACATGAATTCAGATCATTACTGGCATTTCATTTGATAAAACAGCCAACTTAATTCCACTAAAAGAACCAACCCTCTATCTAAAACAGAAAATGAGAGTGAATTAGAGCAAATAGAGACAGAAATAGACACTCGTGAAGAGGGGGAGATGCATGAGCATAACCTGTTTTTTCCAATTTGTCAAGCCGGTTATGAGAGCTAGTAATGTTGCTTGCACAGTACTCCCAGTCAGCACCCCCATCCAAAGGCCTTTCCCTCTAAGATGGAGAATGAAGCACAGCAGAATAGCTACTGGGATTCCAGCAAAATAGTATGCCCCAAGGTTAATATAGGCCCCTATGTGCTGCCATCCACATCCCCTAGCAATTCCTGTAGCCGAAACGATTCGAGTTAGGACCATACATGTCCTGTGCAAGAAACATCATCTACTATCATGGCTTCTTGGTAAACATGCGTGTTAGTAAATTATGGGATTGGAACACAAACAATTCAGACATTTGATCACATACATGCGTACTCTATGACTAGTAAATGTTCGTTGCATAATGAGGAGAAACTAACCGGAAAGCACTGTTTGTAAGCTATCCACAATAACTGAGAGACAAAGCAGGGGAGCCACTTCAGTTACATAGTCGACAACCACCTTTTCATTGCTGAAGGCGTATCCAAAAACATGGCGGTAGCAGAAGATATTTGTGCTCACAATAACTGCCTCTACGAGCGAAATACTCAGTACTGCACGGACAACCACTTGAGCTGCCTTATGATTTCCAGCTCCCAGATGATTTGAAACCTGAGCACTGCCAGAGAAAGCACGTTAAGTATATGAGATTTTTCTTTCATCTATGCAAACTTGAAGAGACAAGATATGAATCAAACCTCCCAGCAGCTGCAATCCCAGATAGTGCATAGAAGTGCAATGACGTTGTTGCTAGGCTGATTACAATGTTAAGAGAAAATCAGAAACAATCCTATCAAAGTCCCCAATCAGCCATCTTTAAAGTATACGAAAAGAAGCATACCAGATAGAAAGAACAGATGTTTCAAGCTGTGAATCTGGCAGAAGTCCAGCAAGCAATATAAGTAGTTCAAAGGTCCACCACTCAAGACTGACCATCGGCATGAAAATAAAGAACGAAGTATTCAATTATTAGAAATTCAAAGCAGACGTAAATAGAGGCTCAATAAATTACATCATCGTTAGACTGTACACGAACGAGAAATTACCAAACCATTACAGCAGAAGGGAGAGCGAAGCGAAAGAACTCCGTAATGCTAGAGAAAATATGATTCCAGTAGATGACACGGGTCTTTTTGCAGGATGAAGAGAACCCCATATAAAGTGCAAGGAATACCACATTTAACCAGTAAGACACATCAATGGCTAATGCTGCTCCAGTGCTTCCTAGTTCCCATTTAAATATTAGAGCCCAGCAAAGAGGTATATGGAAACATAAAGTTGCACAAGTGCTGAAAAGCATTGGTAGAATCAAGCCCTGGGACTGGTAGTAGCGAAGCAGCGACTGAAGAACAGCATAGGCAAATAACGCAGGAATGAGAAAGGTAGCATATCGGCAGGCTACCGTTGAGATTTCAGGGTCTTGGCCTATTGCTATCAATATCCTGTCCATGAACATCCAAATGATAGACACAGGGACACATATTGGAAGGAGAGATATTATTGCACAGTATGTATAAGTGCCAAACTTTTGGTATTGCCCTGCTCCATAAGCTTGTCCACATAGAGTTTCTAAGCCTCCTGCCAATCCAAACTGCATGGTATATAAATATACGGTCAATCATCGTGCATACAAGTTCAAGCTTGAATCAAGAATTAAAAACTGAGACACGTCAATCAATAACTAAATCTGCTCTCCCATTAATCTCGCTATGCATTTCAGGATTGTAAGGAATAACTTCAATAACTATATCTTGGATGCATAAATATTTCAAATCGATTGCATATTTATTCAAACTAGAGCAGCCCTACTGATGCTTAGCTTGTGATTTCCAAGTTTTAAAATTCTACCTTGGAATTTGACAAGATGGCATTTTATAACTAAAAATTTTATCAAATTTTCCTAAGGAAACTCATAGCGAAGGCTTGTATCTTTTTGGTGCATATACAAGTAATAAGATAGAGAAAAGAAGACTTGCTAGGAGACTAAATCCGGTGACCCCAGCAAAAGATCCACCGATGGAGACCCCAGACAGAGACAATTCACCAAGGTGCCCTGCCATCATTAGTGACACAACCTGCAACAGGTGTAGCGACACCGTCACCACCACCATTGGAGCTGCAATGCAGGTCACCTTCTTTAGCTCTTCCACATAGGTAGTAGAAGCCGGTGTCCTCTCTTCAGCGTTGGGCAGCAGTGCCTCTTCCATCTCCCCCTCTCAAAAATTTCCCTACAGAATTCTTACAATCTTGTCATTTACTGCATTGAAGTGAGAAAAACAAATACAATGTTACAAACATAGAAAGGGAACACTACCTGACAAACTAGAAGTCAAATTCTGTCACAAGCATGCCTCTCTTTTTTAAGGCATTTGGATCTTAGACGACTCTCCAGGTTCTCCGTGGAAAATAATAATTATTTATAGGTGAAGGAGAGTTAAGAAGATTTGGAATGATTCATAGATAATAAATAAATCAAGAAGCAAGCAAGCAAATATTAAAGTAATCAAGGATTGAGAACAATCAGAAGTAAGCATCTCCCTTTGCCGCAAAACCAATGAGCATCGAACAAAACTCATGACGAGATAGGTGGCCGAATGGAAAATGAATAAAGAATCATTTCAACGTGATAAATTATTGTAGTGGACTGGATCAGACCAATCAGATCACAGGAGCCATGGATAATGTTGTTCTCCATTAGCAAGATTGACTGCTACAGGTGCCCAGGAGGCCAAGAAAAGGCAACTTGGAAAATGGAAACGCATGCATGATTGAGCTGCTGCAAAATATAGGTTGCCAGCAACAGAGATTCACAGACAGATTCAAGATCAGACATTTTAAACCTGAAAGGAAAACATCAATGCTAAGCTACTCAACCTCTAAACGGAGCTTGATCAGTTGGACTGACATTGAACAATTAGAAACTGACAAAAAAAATAGGTTAGAAATTGAGACTTTTTAGAGAAAAGGGAAACTAGTATCAGTTAAGCTATGGTATTTCTTCTCAAATAAAAAGAAGATGATGTGTTTACAATGTTTTGAAAAACGTTATAGCAACCCCCTGCCACTTAGGCTCACGAGAACGAAAAGAACAAGGAAAATAAGCTAAGAGCAATTTCATAGCTACGAACATTTCTTGAAAAAATATACATTCTTGTAATCTAATCTCCCTCATTCTTCATTAAAGATCTTCTCTTATTTTCCCAATTCTTCGTTCTCATGTAAGACCCCAAAATCATCATGTGGTTTTGTGATCCTGTTATTTTTCCTTCTAGTCGAAACTAAGGCATGGAAAGATCTTGAGTTGATGTCACCTTCTTCTAACCACACTTGCTTAGCCCTTTGTTTCCAATAGTCCTCCTCCTGCGCCACCAACCTTCCCATCTTCTTCCTCTACAATTTATAGGATTCTGCTGAGGGCATATCATGTAAGGGCTGTAAACATTGTAACTCCTCATGGCCCTCAGCAATGTCCCTACGACCCTGCCAAGTCCTTTTCCCATCCCATGAATCTGTTTGAACAGTGTAGGAATCTGTTCAGAATGCCATTACTTCTGTTCAGAACGCTTTTGATTCTTGTTAACAAAGAACATTGAACAAAAAAGTCACATTTTTTTGTGGAAAAGAAATATTAATAAGAAAAGGAGAAACTATATTAGCAAATTAAATAAAAAAAAGATTTAGAGGGCTCCATGTGATATGAGATCATATATTCTGAGGCATTTCTATTTTGCTGCTAACCAATCAAGAAAATCTAATTTGTTATTAATATTTTTTTAACATGTGAGCCAATCAAAGTAATTTTAATAGACAGTATAATGAAAATATTATGAAACTCAAGCCCTTTTTTTTAATCTTTATAAAAATTTTAACTTATTATGATTTATAGACGCAAGTAAAACAAATAATATTTCATATAATAATCAGCACTGTCATTTAATTTATCTGTTTATTCTGGAAACAGTACTTGTGAAGAGTCTTAGTGCATCTTTTCATATTGAGATCTTACCAAGAACATTCTCAAGCACAAAGTACACAACATGAATAGGAGACAAGGCTGAGTTTTATTATTTAATTAATTATTTGTTTCTGGCTTTACATCCGAGGCACGGTTTCTTTTTACTTGTTTCTCTCATTACAATTTTACTTAAAATATACATCCAATAGTATCCTCAAAATCACTAAAACTTGATAAGTTATTATATTGAATTGGATCCTTCACGCCTCCAAAATGAGGTGGAATTAAACATCGTTTATATATATAAAAAAAGTAAATCTTCTTAACTTTTTTTAATTTTATTCATACCCTTTTCCTCTTGTTTTTAATTTATTAGGTTATTGATTTGTAAAAATTACAATTTAATCTTTATTATTCCCAAAACATACATTTTGACTCTTTAAATGTATTTTTATATTTTATATATAACTGATTATGAGATTAAAGATGTTGAATTTCAACTTGGTCATTGATTTATGATATTTCTAGTTTAGTTTCTAAATTTTATAAAATTATAATTTGACCCTTGAATTTAAGATAAATTACAAGTTTGGTCCCAATGGTAAAACATGGTTTTTTCCTCTTATATGCTAACAAATAATTTATATGTATTAATTATTTATTATAAATATATTAAAATATTGATAATGACACTTATCGATCCTTTAGACATTCGTTATGTCTAAACAAATATCGAATATAAATTGTAAATAATTATGTTGTCTAAATTTATCAACCTAATTAGTTCTTAATAATGTCATTGAATTAAATTAGTAATATAAACATCATGGTTATTTAATTATTAGAGTTAGTTACATTAGAGAACAGTGAACTAATTAATGTTAAGAAATGATAGATATTCAGAATATAAATTGACATATCGTTTCAATAATGAATTTTGATTTTTATAGGTAGACATTTACTTGAAATCAAGGTTTTTCTCTTAACAAGTTTTAGATATATTTAATTTAACTTCATTATTTTATTTTGTTTACCATAATATAACCTAAATAACCTTCAAATTCCTCAACTTTGAATCATCTAATATAAAAACTTGAATTAGATTGTTCTTTTTAGATCAACTTCTTACTTACTATACACTATTTTATTTGTTTAAATTAAAATAATTAATTTGTGTGATTGCAACAGCATAATATATATAATATATAGTACACACAGCATGCAAATGGTGTATTTAGTATAAATGGCCATCACATATTCCTAAACGTTATGCTAATTATTGCGAAGAGTCATGCACTTATATGAAAGTTTTTAATACAATAATCATGATACTAACATTCCTTTGTATATTTATTTGATTACTCATTACTAAGCAATGAAAACTCATTCCTTTCCGCAAAGATTTGAAGACTCATTGTTAAAGGCTGCACTTACAGGCTTTTGATAATGATTATATGCTGATTGATTGTATTTGGATTATGATATTATGTGGCATGTAAATTTGATGCGGAGTCTTCTTTTCGAGGTGTTTAGTAGATTTGAGGAGGTTTGAGGTTGGGGAGGTCTTTGGCGACGGTCCCCTCGATCGTGCGCAGTCACGCCCTCTTGTGAGTGGTCAATACATTTTCAAGGCATGACAGATCAGACCAATCAGATTAAAAAGCATAAAGCTATGGTATTTCTTCTGGAAAAAAAAGAGAGAGATGAACTATTTACAATGTTTTAAAAATGTTATAGCAGTCCCCTGCCACTTTGGCTCGCAAGCACAAAAAGAACAAGGCAATAAGCTAAGAGCAATTTCATACCATCAAAGCATCGCGCTACGAACATTTCTAAGAAAAAAATATGCATTCTTATAATCTACTTTTCCTCATCCTTCATTGAAGATCTTCTCTCTAATACCCTTTCCCTTGCCTTTACTACCTGTATGCACACAAGATCATCAATTTGTCATTGCACTTGATGGGAGCCTTTAATAGAAACAATTTGTCATTGCACTCGATGGGAGCCTTTAAAAGAACAGCACATGAAAACATATACAAGGGAGAGAAGTTGAAGGAAAGAAAATAAAAAAGATTGGACTAAGGACCTGTTTGTTCCAATCTGTACAAGCAGTAACAATAGAAAGAAGCACTGATTGCGCAAAGGACCCAGCTAATATTCCAATCCAAAGGCCTTTTCCTCTTAAATGAGCTCCAAAACCAAGCACAGCAGCCAATGGAAGTCCAACCAGATAAAATGAACCAAGATTGATATATGCCCCTATTTTCTGCCATCCACTTCCTCTAGCCACACCTGATGCAAAGGATGACACATATTTCAGGCTGCTCTTGCTTATATAGTAACCAAATAAAAAATGAAACAGAGCTAAGAAACTAACCAGAAAGGACAGCTTGTAAGCTGTCCATGATGAATGAGAGACAAATCAGGGGAGTCATGACTGAAATATAACGCACAACCTGCCTGTCATTGCTGTAAGCATATCCCAAAACTTGCCGGGAAAGGAGGAGTCCTGAGCTCACAATGACCGACTCTGTGCCAGCAAGAAACAAGGCAACCTGAACTGCCATCCTAGCTAATTGAGGATTCCCAGCTCCTAGTTCATTCGATACTCGTGTGCTACAAAAATACCATGAAATCTATATGGATGGACAGATTGATATGAAATCTATACATTATTTTAAATTAAAGAATATGCTTTCAATAGGAGAATGTTATAAACCTTGCAGCAGCTCCAAATCCATATGGTATAGTGAAGTGCAATGTAGAGATTGTGAGGCTAAATCAAGCAAAATAAATATTATTGAGAAATTAGAGTTATAATAATATTTAATTCAATCTTTACAAGCATCCAATTTGTCAATATATGGATAGGAGCAAAAATAAATATTAAAAATACCATATAGAAAGCACTGAAGTCTCCAGTTTTGGATTTTTGAAAAGACCAGAAAGCAAAATCAGCAACTCCATTGACCACCATTTAAGACTGTGATGATAGCGTAATAGTATTGTAGTTAGGAAAACAGAACGAAACAGAAATTGCATTTTCATGATAGAAGAAAATGGTAAAAGAAATTACCAAACCATAATAGCAGAAGGGACACCGAGCTGAAAGAATTCTCCGATACCATAAAGTGCTTCTCTTGACAATGGAGCTCTAGTTTTTTCACATGCTGAGGAGAACTTTACATACAGGCTTAGCAATATCACATTCAACCAAGTTGATAAACTGAAGGCTATAGCTGCTCCCTTTTGTCCTAATTGCAGTTTGTACACAAGAATCCAGCATGAAATGGTGTGAAAACATAAGATAGAAGATGACGTTATAAGCATTGGTAGAATCACACTTTGTGTCTGAAGATATCTAGTCAAAGGCTTGAGAACTGCACCCCCAAATAATGCAGGGATTACCCACATTGAGTACTTGCAGGCTTCTTGTGAGATTAAAGTGTCTTGGCCTAGTAGAGGTAGTAGTTTGCCCATGAAGATCCACAGGACACAAATTGGAGGGCACATGATTATTAGAGAGATGATTGCACTGTAAGTATAGGTTCCAAGCTTTTGATATTGTTTAGCTCCATATGCTTGGCCTGCTAGAGTTTCCAGTCCACCTGCCATTCCTGACTGTTTGCCAATTACAAACTCGGGTCAATTCATGCTTGTTAGCACAAACATAATTGTGAAAACCAAGCTTGATAAAGAAAGAAAATTGGGGAAAAAACATTTTTAATCACAGAGGGCATTCTAACATGGTAATAATACATAGCTTTAGGCAACAGCTCACGCTTTACTGACCTATATCACCCCAATTTGTTTGATTATCATTCAATTCTTAATTTGTTTTTTATATTAGAATGCTGATATGAATTAAAGATGGGCCACTCTTACAGAAGTTATAGCTTTGACAAAATTGAACAGAACAGGGTACTAATTGAAAAGTTTTTTAATAATGGGATGAAATTGAACAATTGATACAAAGAAAGGAAGAAGGACTTTTGCCAGTAACGAAGAGGCAAGTAACGTAGCAAAGTAATTATAATAGAAAAGAAGAAGAAGAAGAAGAAGGAAAGAGGAGAATTTAAGGGATGAGGGTAGTCGACATGCAAGTCTTTGTACACAAAAGGTCCAAATACAGTGAACACATGCATGTTTTATTAACTATTTACTCTTTTAAAACCCCCAATAAGCCACTTGCTTCATGCATCAATGTTAATAGATTTCAGTCTAAAAGACAACAAACAGACAACTTTTTTATACATACTTGAAACATTTTAATTTCCAACTTGCTCTGCATAGCATGGACGCCCCGTATATTCCTCTATGAAAAATATTTTTCTTTTTGGTTTGACAATAAAAGCTTTTTTCTGGGTTTTTTTTTTTATAAGATTAAATTTATTTTTGATTCCATGAAAGAGATGAGGGTGGGAAGAGTACTCTGCAATGCACTGTAAGTATACTCACAGATATGAGGGATCAAAAACATTGGAGAAAATGCAAATAGACAAGTAGAAAATTGAAGGGGAAAAAATCTTGCTTGTATGGAAAGAAATATGTTTAAATGATAACTTTAAGATTTCTGTACATGAAACATAAGATTTAGGGGTTAATCCAAAACTAGACAAGGACCTTAAAGGGTTGGGTTTTTTCTTTTTCTTTTTCCCTTCCCCTGATCATATCCTGTCTTCAATTCCAGGAAAGATGAAGTGGATTCTTGAAGAACATCTTCTTCCTCTCTCCTTAATGGAAGAGAAAGCAACCTTAATTTCTGAATTGAAAGCATAATGATTCATGCTAGTTAAAAGATGCAAGAAGATATATAAAAGGACCTTTATAAAAAAAATTAAGAAAAAAGGGGGGACAGGAGTAGAAGACATACAAGAAGGCTAAACCCTGTAACATTGGTAATAGAAGTGGCAATGGCGGCACTAGAGAGTGCAAGTGCACCAAGGTGTCCTACAATTATCACAGACACAACTTGTAGGAGATACTGCAATACTGACACGGCCACCATTGGAGCTGCTATATAGCCTGCCTTCCTTAGCTCTTGAACAAATCCTTCCCATGTTATCGCCCATTTTCTCTCTTCCCTCTTTCCCTCTTCTTCCATAACTTCTCAACAAGCGAATGAATTTTGTGTTTTTTTCCTCCTCCTAGAAGCCACAGCAAGAGTGACCTTAACTATATGTGAAGAACAAACGAAGAGACAACGCTCAATGCTGAACGGATTGCTGTGTTGTCTGATTTGTAATTTCTTTGACTTGATTAATAGTATTCTGTCTGGTTCTAGAATACAGCTAGGTAATTAACAAAGGCTTTTGACTTGCAAGTCATGATTTTCGTGAACTGCTCGTGTTTTCGTCGTATTTTGCGTAAAGACACAAATTCAGGCATTAAATTTATAATAATGTTCTTATATTTTGCAGCTTCTCTTTCTGGCGTTTTAATGTAATCTATTGTTTATCAAAAAAAGAAAAGAGTCAGATGTTACATCCATTAATTATAGAGAAGATTGTGGAGAAAAACTATGATATATTCTGAGAGGTTTATTTCATAAATTATCTTTTAAAAAAATACCCTTTTATTTAAATATAAAAAAATATCATAATTAATAAAATATTAATTAAACGAAAAGTTCTAATCTAAATAGAGAAATAAAAAATACAAGAAAAATAAATAAAATTCTAAAACTTTATATTTTGTGTTTAATTTGAGTTTAAAAACAAAAAATTTAAATATAATTCAATGATTAGATAAAAAAAAATTATCAAAATGCATCTTGGACTTCTTTGGAACTACTCAAAACCTATAAAACTTTAATAGTGTAGAAAGTAATATAATTATCATAAAAAATGTCATAAAAAAATATGTTGCCTTAGCATCGCATATTTTTTTGACTCAAGTTTCCCCTCATGGATCAAGATTTATCCATTTTATCACAAAATTTATGATAGTCATGGGCCCATATTTTTTAAGGGCTCAGCTAAAGCATCCAAGCCCAATTAATAGGTTGGGCTCTGGCACACCATCAAGCCCAAGTGCTCAGCATACCCATTATTTTATTGTGGGCTCGGCTCACCACCTAGCTCAGCCCAAAGGAGTATGATAATTGATAATACACGGGTGGCTGAGACGAAAAGACAAGGACTGCCGCTTGAAACTCCCAACTTTACAAGACCATCAGCACAACTGTTTCCCTCTATCAAGACATGAAGTTAACGTCTGTCAATTTTCGTATTCTCGTTATTTTTCATCTAAAATTTTGATTAGGAGGATAATTTTAATTAGTTAATTACTATCCTGCTTATATGATTATTGGCTCATAAATCATTTAAGCATCCTTAATTCAAAAACATAGTAACATCGTAAAACATTGTCTTCTTAATCAACCATAAAGAAACAAAGTCATGGAGAAACAAAAACAAAAAAAAAAAAAAAAAAACAGAGAGAGAGAGAAGAAGAGTTACCCCAGCCAAACCACAATCACCCGTCATCCCAAGCCAAACAATTTGCTAGGGAGCTTTTTACATTTAGGGAGAGGCTTGAGTGTCCGCTTCCACATTGAGCTCAAGATGGACACCACCCCTAACCTAGTAGCCTAAATTAATGACGTTACGGTATGTGCTATTTTTACAAAAGTTTAGTCAAATAAAAATTAAAAATATTGTTTTCTCATATTTATTAGTATTGTGGATTAGTACTCCACAGTTTTTTTTATATATATATTTTCATCTTTTTATTTTATTTGGTATCGATTTTTTTAATTTAATTTTTATTTATTGTGTTTAATTTAAAATTGATAATTTATTTTAAATTTTTTTATATAGTTATCGCGATATCAAAAAAATATTTCAATATCACAATATGGTTTATTTTTTAAAAAAATTAGATTAATAAAAAAATAATTTTAAAAAAATCAGGTTATTAAATTTTATGAAGTTAATGATCTGGTTTACTAGTTTGGCGAGGTAATCCTACTTATTTCAATTCATAAGTTTAGTGAAGCATTTTTTTTTCTAATTAAACTTGTTTATATAAATGTATATTTTTTTATGACAATTAAAAAAATCATTTCTGAAAAAATATATTATTAAATTTTAAAAAATACAAAAGCTTGTTAACGGGTTTGGTAAGTTTAAATTTTCTTTATTTTTGTAAATTTATTTTTTTATTTTATTTTTTAATATTACACTAATTAAAAAATGAATTTTATAATTTTATTCGTTTTCTAAAATGTTATCGTAATTTTAATACACTAATTAAAAAGTGAATTTTATAATTTTATTTGTTTTCTAAAATGTTATCGTAATTTTAATATTAAAAAAATATTTTTTAAGTTTTTTAAAAAATTATTTAATATTTTTATTGGCCATTTGAGTTGTCTTTTAATTTATTAAATTGAATTATTTACTTTGAATTAGTAATTTAATTTAAAACTTAAATTAAATAAAAAAATAAATTGAGAAGTTCCAAGATCACACGATTTAGAAATGTGTATTATATCGAATATCTAAACCGTCAATCATGATATGGATGGATGATTAATCTCAACCAGATGCGCACACGGAAGAGCACTTGTTGGACAATGTACAAAGAGAACGTTTTGAGGAGAGAGTAGAACAATGTAAGAAGAGAATCAGGAGACTTACAAGTAGGCTAAATCCAGTAACATTGGTGATGGAGGTGGCTAGGGCAACACCAGAGAGGGCGAGCTGACCAAGGTGTCCTACGATTATTACAGACACAACTTGTAGCAGATACTGCAACACCGTAACAGCCACCATTGGTGCAGCTATGTAGCTCACCTCCTTGAGCTCCTTCACAACTCCACCCCATGTTATCAGCCATCTCCTCTCTCTCCTGATCTCTTCCACCTCCTCCATGACAGTATATACTAGCCAGTGACAAGTCAGTATTCTTCTCCGAAATGGTGGTTTGAACTAATCAAGAGAAAACGCTTCTGGCGTTCTACGTAGAGTGAATTTATAAGGTCTTTGATCCTATCTGGAGTAAACGATTTTGTTTGACTCTAGATAAAAGTTATTTGGTGGTTTATACAATGATATATGTGTTAAAAAAATATTAATTATTTTAGTGACTTGAGTGTCCCTTTAGCCTTGAAAAGGAGTAAACGTTTTTGTCCACAGCATGCATTGTTTGCATATCTAATTTTAAATGAATATATTGACTATAATTCACCACGCAAGGCACCTTTCACTATGAGTCCGGCGTCCAAGTAGAGCCAAATCACGCAAGTATATTTTTTTTCTGGCCATTTACTGAGCCAAAATCTATATAAAATTAAGCACAATGTGGAGAAGGCCTCCGAAATTATATGCATTTGAAGCAGAATTATTACTATATTATTAATTAGTAGAATCATTGCCAAGTCTCTTGGATATTCTGCTTTATCTTTGTAGCTTGGCCGATTTAAATCTAGGACAAAATGCAACAACCAAACCTCGTCCAACAGAGGCATCATAGCATAGCATCTTATCATGTCCAAAAATACCATCCAGTGTAACTTAATTAATTAGATTTTAAATTTATTTTAAAAAATAATTAATTTAAATATTATAAATTACAGAATTACTAGAAATTTATTTGATTATTAACATTAAAATCTTGAGAAATTAGCCGACCTACGGGTGGGTTGGGTTGATTCAGATATCTACCATTAAAAAAAACAAAAACAAAACAGAGAGTGACATGAGATGTCTTGTTATTAAAATCTTGAGAAATTAGTCGACGTGGTGGGTTGGGTTGATCTAGATATCTACAATTAAAAAAAAAGCAAAACAGAGAGTGACATGAGATGTCTTGTGTTATTGGCAGGTAAACAACGGTCACATTACAAGATTTATTTCAAATCGGAGAGCTGTAAATTATTTCAGTTTGGGACAATATATATGAAATAAACAATTCTTCGAATGAGGAGAGCAGATAATTAACTCGTGACAAATAATATATGAAAGAGACGATTCTTCGTTGTCGGATGAGTCGAGCAGATAATTAATTCATGAGAATTCGAAAAAAGAAGGTTTCTTATGATTGCTCGTGCACTTGTCACCTTAAGATCAAAAAAAAAATCTCATTTGTTAACCTTCTCTTAATGTAGGAATCCGAAGTTTGAAGTTGCCTATCTCATCATGACATCATAAATTTAATTGATTATTATTTTGTTATAATCGATTTCTCTCATGACTTCATTGCAGCTCCACCATCCTTCTAAATCTCCTCTCCTACTAAAAATTTAATTGATTATTTTATTTTATTTTACAGTTATTATTTGACAGCTCTGTATCTTGCAATTAACTGCATTGTGTTTTCATGTCAGTTAACACATTATGCCAAAATCTATGGACAAACCTCAGAAAGGGAGATGATTATGCCTAAATCATTGCAACATGGAAATGATTAGAACCAGTAAAGAAGGTATGGTTTTGATAAAGAATCCATCTACTGGAAACCAAAAATAAAGAAGTCTGTTTCTTTATTTGCATGGATGATAAAAAAGGAAAATGAAAAACAAATGGCATGTTCAATTCTAAGCTTAACTAAATTTCAATTTTTTACCAAGTACTGAAGTCTGTTTCTTTTATTGCAATTCTCTAAACAAACTGGTTTATTAGCTGCAATAATTCCATTTGCTTACACGATACTAAACAAAAGGGTACAATGAGAACCCAGCCCTTAATTCAATCACCATCATTATATGACTGCCATGTCAATCCTATACACATATATCAAACTACAGCCTAGTTCTTGCCAAACCCCTGCTCGAGTCAGGATACTACAAAAGATGTAACACTCTGTTTTATTACTAACTTATGCTTCCTCAGCATGCATGCCTGCAGAAGAGGATCTAAAAGGAGAAACGGACGGTACTGGAGTGATTTTACATTATTAAATGGGATCCTGCAAAACCAGTTCAGCCAAGGGATGTGCAGATTAAAACAAAGAGAGGTGTGAAGGCTACCTCAGTTTTTGTGCTGCATCCTACCACTTTCTGCACCAGCATAAGGGTCGATGGTGACATTTATTACAGCTGGCTTTCTTGCAGTAAAGGATTCAGAAAGGGCAGACTTGAGTTCATCAGGTGTCCCGACAAGATAACCCTTCCCCCCGAAAGCTTCAATTAAAACATGATAAGCAGCGCCAGGGACAAAAGAAGTGGGTGCTGGATCATCTTTAAAAGGCCCTGTAATTTCTTCAGGGTTCCTCCGATCACCACCATAAACACCACCATTGTTAAAAACTATCACGACCACGGGCAGCTGGTAACGAACCAATGTCTACAAAAGATTTTACAATGTAAATGTAACCTGTTAATTTTATTTTATATCATGAGGCAAGCAAAAACAAAGGGTGACTTGAAAGCTTCAACAGGTGCATTGTCTTTTCTTTAATTATTATAATTATACAAACCTTCTCAAGAAAGGGCAGAAAACAACGAAGGCATCTGCAGATTTGTTAAACCGATTGAGATTTTATCAAAATCTATATATGCTTTCATACCACCGCATTCATTTTCACCCATAACCCCTAAAATCTTTTAATTCTAAGACATATGCTTCATGACTGCAGAAAACACGATGATCGAAAACTATGCATGACTAACTTGCTAAAAGGTACAGTTCAGTGATGAATAAAAAGGTTATTCGAAGACCAGCATACAGCTGGTTTGAGAGTGATATTTCCCATTCCGTGAAACTTTTTAAGAGCAAATGTACCTTGACCAATGTAATATAATAAGCTAAGCCACACACCACATAGTATACTACTTAATACTATATATCTGCTATTTTCTTTAAATTCCCAAAGTATACTAACCAAGTAAATTCATACCGCATGCATCGCATAGACATCTTTTCCAATGAAACATAGACATGCATGTACATGAACTTCTGATTCCAAACAAACTTCAAACTACATACAAGTTAACCCTTTGCAAAGAAATGCATAACATTTTATGACTGCATATCTAGTCTAATATAATAATAAGATTAGAAAATGGAAGACAAAGAAGTGGTACTCTCATTAGCTGACATGTGGATAGCCCAGCTATTCAGCATTTGATAAAATGGTGCTTTTTGTCGGAAAGAACAGTAGACATTTAACTTTTAAGGCAACAATGATAAAGAGATTTCACAAGATTAAAAATTCCATTTCCTGATTTGATAAAAAAAAATTATGAATGAAATTAAAAGGAATCAAACAGTATTGGTGCGCAAAAATTTTCCTTTTCCAGTGGTTGATGCATGCACCATGTGTTTTTGGATATACAAAAATGTCATTTACAACCTAATGAATGGCCCATTTTATATTCACCATTAATCTTAAAGTTTTTGGATGGACTAAGTGACTTTTAATAAAGTCTTTTTTGTGAGAGAATAGCTAAGCTCCTGTACAATTTAATTAATCTGTTTACATATGTTTTTTAACCGATAATTTATGGTGAAATGTTTAACATTCGTCCAATATTTCATTAATCTTAATCTTCAAAAGAAAGAAAAAAATACAGTTTTAGTAAAATTGACTTGACTTGGTCAATTCATTTATCATGTCAAAAGTGCAAAGAAAATCTTGGGTCAACAGACTTTCTTATTAACAATTACAAAAACTTTCTCCATCTTCTAACAAAGATAGTCCCCCTTTAAAATACACATAAAAATAAGTGCAGTCAACAGCTAGCTGCAGTATCCAAGAAACAGAGTGATAAAAGCACATCATATTCGAATGTTAGAACAATCATATATCACAAAAAGTTCTCAGCCCGAAAAAATTAAACATGATTGTAGTAATGAGTAAAGGATCATTCATACCTCAACTTCCATCGCACTGAACCCAAATCCAGAGTCGCCCTCAACTGCAACCACAAGGCGATGAGGCTCAGCAACTGCAGCAGCAATGCAATAACCCAAACCAACACCCATAGTCCCCCAAGTTCCAGCATCCAACCTCGTCCTTGGCTCAGTCTGAACCAAAACAGCTCTGCCAACATCCATTGTATTTGCCCCCTCTGAAACCAATACCGGTGCAGGACTCCCCACTTCTAAGATCGCATTTCTAATAATCCTCATTGGCGTCAAAAAATTAAACGGCACAACATCCTTAGCCAGCTGTGCCTCCATTCTCGACACATTGTCCCTAGCCTTCTTTGAAATCGCCTCCAACCACGGATGATTCTTCCCCAAACAAAAAGGATCCTCCTTGATCTCCTTATTTACCAATTCCAACACCTTTTTTGCATCTCCAACTAAGCCCAAATGTGGCTTCCTCAACTCAATCTCCTCCTCGCTAACATCAACCAAAATAAACTTCACATCCTTAGACCACTTTGGCGGTTCCCCAAAATGCAACAACCAATTAAGCCTCGCGCCAACCACAAGCGCAACATCGCATTTCCCAATAGCAAGTGACCTCGCGGCACTAGCAGCAAGTTCATGTGTATCAGGCAACAACCCTTTTCCCATAGGGGTTGGCAAAAACGGAATCCCAGTACTTTCCACTAATCTCTTCAACTCATTCTCCGCACGGGCATAAGCAGCACCTTTTCCAAACACAATCAATGGCCTTTCAGCATTTCTAAGCAAATCCACCGCCCTCTCAACTTCCAAACTTGCAGTAGTAATCTTTTTCGCACCCTTTTCAATTTCTGAAACATCCGCGGCAGATTTTATCAAACTATCAGCCTCGGATTCCGATATTGTCTGATGCAAAACATCAGTTGGAAGATCTAAGTAACACCCACCAGGCCGGCCCAAAACAGCAGAATCAAGCGCCTCAAAAAAACATTTAGGTATTTCTTTAATGTCTTTAGCTTTACCTAAATGTTTGGAAAACGGTTTTGCAGCTTCAATTTGGTTAAGCTCTTGAAAATCACCTCTACCGACATCGTTTTGATCACAAGAACCCGAGATCAAGACCATAGGCCATGTATTAATCATGGCATTAGACAATCCAGCAAGCCCATGAACGCAGCCCGGCCCAGAGACTGTTAGGAGAATCCCAGGCCGACCGGTGAGGTAACCGTACGCAGAGGCAGCGTACCCAGCAGATTGCTCATTGTGAAAGGCAACGAAACGGATTCCAGCGGCCACAGCACGATTGGCAAAGGAGGTTACCGGAATACCCACGACGCCAAACATATGGGTTATGCCGTAGGCGACGAGAGATTTGGCGGCGAGGGTGTTGCCGTCGATGAGGGTTTGTGAGGTGGTTTGGGAATTGGATTCTGCCATGAAAGAGGAGCACTGGAGATTGGTTTGGTCTGGTGGGGTGGGGGCGGAGGAATTTGATTTGGATACGAGGCTTGTGGGGTTGCGGGTGAGGTGTTTATAGGTAGGAGATCATTTGCTGGAATTGTTAGGTTTGTGCTCAGGATTCTGTTATATGGGGAAGGGTGTATTTTAAATTCAAAATCTCATTCACTTTTCTTTTTCTTTGAACGCGGTTGATGCATTTATTGATTTGAAACCAGTGTTTTGAAACCCGGCCCGGGGCTGAAACCGGGCCGGGTTGATGAAAAAATAAAATAAGTTATGATCCGTGTGATTTGGTTGACTCACCAGGTTGACCTGACAACCCGACTGACCCAATAAAATTTAATTGTAATTTATTGATTTTTATTTATTTTTTTATTAAAACAATGTTATTTTGACCCGGCTGATCCAATAAAATTTAGTTGTAATTCATTGAATTTTTTTTTTATTAAAACAATGTTGTTTTGAAAAAAAAATTAAAATAAAAATTAAACCGATTAACCCAATCAAAACTGATAATCCAATTAAAACTTGGAATTCAGATCTTAAAAAAAAATTAAAATAGAAATTAACCCGATTAACCCAATCAAAACTGATGATCCAATTAAAACTTGGAATTCAGATCTTAAACCGGGCTGCCCACCGAACGAGTTTAAAAACTATGTTTGAAACGATGCTCTTGTGCGATCTTTAATAATCTACTTGTTCAATTGACTAGTGATGAGGGATGATCGTGGGTAACTCTTGCATCATTATTTTTTTATTTTTTATTTTTTATAAGTTTTTTTTTTTCGTGTTACTGTGTTAATTGTTAGAGCTCTCTATGATTTCACCTTAGAAATCTTGGATTCTTTATTAATATAAAAATTGTGGGTTTAGTTTTAAGAAATAATATAAATAGAACTGTGTAGTTTATTTTTCAAAACATATTAAAAACAATTCATTTAAATTGAGTTTTCTTTACCGTTTAGAGTTTAAAAAATTCATTTTTTATATAATTTATAACTGTAATCTTAAGACTTGAGAAATTTTATTTTCTTATTAATTAGTTGATCATATAATATATAATTTTGAGATTTAGCCAAACGGGGACAGTGATAATTGTTTTATATCATTTTAAATGATCTATATAAAAGTAGAACTTAGAGATATTTAATCTAAATATGTGAAATCTAATCTAATAATATATTTCCCTTTAAAACAGAAAAAAAAAATAGTGACGTGTTTTTGTAATAATCAAATGGAATAACTGTGATTGGATCGATAAAAATTGCAATTTGATTTTTCAATTAGTTTCTCATAAATATTATTTGCATCTTTGTATTTTTGAATTCTTATGTAATTAATTTCTGGATGTGACAATATATATATATATATATATATATCAGTGGTCCCAGATAGGGGTATTTAGGTTTTTTTTTTCCATATACATTAAAATCACAAATGTAACCTTGGATGATATATATATATATATATATATTCTCGAACTTCTAATTTTAATGGTTGTTAAAAAACAGTAAGATGCATCACTGTAGCTCCTCTTACGTTTTCTATTCACTAATAATAACAACTATTTTATATAGGTTTTTTTTTCCATATACATTAAAATCACATATGTAACCTTGGATGCCAAACATTGAATTTATTGTCGTAAGGGGTATTCGGGTATTTTAAAATTATTTTTTGTTAATTATAGATTTGATTAAGGGCAATAATGTAATTTACTATTAAAACAATAATTTTATATTTAAAAAAATTTTACACGCGTTAGAGCTTTGGAACCACAACATACTTTCGATGGCGCATATTATAGTTTTCGATAATCAAAAATTAACTTTTGTCATCTTAGTTTGGTCCTCATTATCTTCTCTTTCTATATATGTTGTGTTAGTTCCTCAAATATGACCGTATATTACTGTTGGTCATTTTTTTTCCTTCATTTCTTTTTTTAATCTTGATAAATACATTATAGTTATTATTGTTATTTCATATCCAAACCTTTAAGTTTTGATTTGATATTTTATAAAAAAATTTATTAAAATTTTATTTATCTTCAATTTTTTTATTAATGTGCATATCTAAGATATCTCTTTCTACTTTTAATTTTTTATTTTTATTATTTGTTTTTATGTCAAAGTTTTTAGGGCTTTTTTAAAAGTTTATGATTTTTGTTTTTCAATGGTAATAATTAATTTAATTTGGTCTATTTTTTTAATTTCTTATCATTTTTCTTAAATTTTTTTGTCAAAAGTTTTATAGTTTTTAATAATATTTTTCAAATCAAGTTCATAGTTTTTATTTTTTCAACAACAACAACAATAATAATAGTAATTGAAATAATTGTAATACTAGTCATGGTAATATTAATAATGATGATGATACTAATAAAAATAATAATAAATGTAATGTTAGTTGTTGTTGTTGTTGTTATTATTACTATTATTATTATTATTGATGATGATGATGATAAAAATTATAAAAATAATATTATTATTGATGAAAATAACAACAACAATTAAATTAGTAATGATAACAACAACGAACGATGACAATAACAATGATGATGATGATGAGTATATTGATAACAACAACAACAAAAATAAAATTAGTGGTGATAATAATAATAGTTGTAGTGATAGTGATGATAATAATGTTGTTGTTATCATTACTATTATTGTTATTATTATTACTATTAATAATAATAACATGATAGAGAAGAAGAAAAATAGTAATGATAATAATAGTTGTTATAGTAATAGTGATAGTGATAATTGTAATAACAGTTGCAACAATAATAATAACAATCATAATAGTAATAATAATGATGATTATAATAATAATTGTTAAAATAATAACAATAATAGTAGGAATGTTATTATTTATATTAATAATGATAATATTTTTTTTAAATAGTGATAATGTTATCGAGCTCTATAGTTGCTAATATGATAATTACTAAAAATTTATATGATTGTTAAATTTTAGAATTCATGAGATTAGTTGAGTTATCTAAGTTAACACAGAAACATATATTAATAAAAAAAAATTGTAATAATTGTGGTGGTGGTAATAATAATAATAATAAATTTATTTTTATTTTTTAAGTTTTTAGTTTTTAAAAATGTAGGCTACACGTGCACGTTGAAAAAAAGGTTGCTTCACCTTGCAGCGGAGCCCCAGGAATCAAACTAATCTAGGCTGTAAAAATGGGATTTGTGTCCCATGTTGTAACAGATAGGGCACTAAGTCAAGACTTGAATCGGTGATCAGCGTCTAAAAACTAATTTGAGGTTTCCTCTTCTTTCTTTATTTAGCTTCTCACCTCTCTCTTGCTTTGGTATCTAATTTTTTAGCCACTGTTCCCGGGTTGTGTCGGGGATGGGATTCCAAGCCAATCTGTAATACAAAATAAAAAGATGATATTTTCATGGATGTGTTTTTCAATATCATATAATTTTTTAATTGAGAAATAGAAAAACTATGCTTTTGTTTTATAAATTAAATTAAGAAATATATGAACAGTAAATTATTAAAAAATTTATTTTCTTTTTAAGAATATGTTTTGTATTGCGATAATTGTTATGACTATGGTTTGAAAAAAATTATTTTATAAAAAGTGTTTTTAGTTAAGGTTGATTTAGTATTTATATATGTTTGGTTAAAACTGTAATTGATGTTGAACAAAAAATAATTTAATATATTTGGTTAGGTACATGTTTTTGAAATTGAGGTTATAAAATAATTTTAAAAAATATATATTAATATCAATAATTTTTAATTTAAATAATATTTTATATAAAATATTTTTTATTATTTTATTAAACTATCTATAATTTTATTTTATATGAAATACATGACAAGAATTATAATTTTTTAATTTTTTAAATACGCAACAAATCAGCAGGTAAAATATAATTATGAGTATAGTGTGAATGCACTGTTGATGCTAATTAATTAGGGTGAATAGTGCAACGCTGTACTGTTCACACTAATTAATTAGCATGCTATGCTCATGAAATAGCAGAGGCAGAAACGTGAAAAGAAAAGCATGTAATTTCTATTTTAATAAAATAGTATTTTTAATGCAAATAATGATAGGGTACATGTATAAAAATCATAACTAATTTTACAACCAAATACTATATTACCACTGTTATATAATAAATACAGCCACAAAATGGACTCTAAGATGCAAAAGATAGATGAAAAAAAAAAATCTCCTTGGCTGCCAATTAATTTTATATGTTTTCTCTTATTTATCATGGAGATTAATTTTAATCACTAAATGCATATGATTTTTGTTTCTATAAAAGCATGCATGGTGCAAATACAACTTATCTTTCAAAAAATTTACAAGATTGGTGATAAATTGTAATAATCTCTCTGAGATATTATAAGATTATAGAATAATTGGCACGTGTTTGTTCGGTAGGTTCCTGAGATGAGAGGAAAAGCATCGGAGGTGATGAAAAGACGGTATTAACCTAGACAAAGCGAACTTGGTTTTGAGTTCCGCGCTCTTTAATTGGCGGGATGATTATTAATTAATTATCTCAAAAAGGAAGGTAGCTGGTCGTTGCTGAACACGTGGTCTGGTGATGGTGGGTATACCAGTAAAGATTTTTTTTTTTAAAGTGTTATTTCTAATATTACCCAATCAAAACAATATGCGTGGTAGGGTTTATTTTAAAAGTATTTTTAATCAATGAGATATTAAAATAATATTTTTTATATTAATATATTAAAAAAATATTAAATTGAAATTTATTAAAAAAATACAGTAGCTGGAAATCAAAATTGAACAACGCAAGAAAAGATTTGAAACAATACACACACAAAATCTTATTTTATTGAAAAAAGTAAAGAAAGAAGGATGGATACTTTAGCTACCAGTAGAGCCCCCACCACCGACTTGGAATTTTTTCCATTAAAGGAAAAAAAAAAGAGGAGGAAAACTAGAAATACGAAACCCTTAAAAAAATTATTTTGAAGTTGAGAAAAAAGATGGGTAAGATTTAAGAAATGGGCCTTGACCAATACTGGGCCAGGTTTCTTACCAAACCCGAACTCCTCTCTCTCTCTCTCTGAGTCTCTCTCACTCGCAGTTGTCACCTGCTAAACCCAAAACCCCGTCTCTTTGCGAGCTAGCCGTCGCCTCTTATTCAATTTGACTCAACCATA